TCTTTTTTTTTTGATACAAGATAAGACTGCTTCAATTTGTATAACTGAGTCTTGGTTGCCATCTTCTATTGAACCTTCCGAATTGAACTTAAATCTTTCATATAGAATTTTTCAAAAGGACTGCCCATAAAGGCGTGGCGTTGGCTTATGTGTATTTGTCCGAGAAACTACTATCTATAAAGAAATATCGTTGCCTAGTCTGGGATTGAGTGGAATATTATGCTTACAAAAATCGGATAATGTGACGCAATCTCAATGGATTATCCTTGTCTATCGCCCTCCATCTTCTTCCCATAATTATGATTTTAAGCTCATTGATTTTTTGCAGATCCTGTGTAACAGTCATTGTGATGTTGTTCTCGTGGGTGATTTTGAGTTGCTCATTGACTGGTCTCTTAAAACGCCATGCTCTGCATCTGCCAGATTTATCAAGTTGTTTGATAATCTTTTACTAACCCAACATGTATTACATCCCACGAGGAGTGATACTTGATCTGGTACTATCAACTTCGCCTATGGTACATAATGTGACTATAGGACCCCCCCCCCCCCCCTTGGACCGCACAAGCACTTACTTTGATCTTATGTTGCCGGTCGTTTTTTTCTGTATGGATTGTTGCCCTGGCTATGCAACCGGCGATTATATGGCTATTTCTGCCTGCTTGGAAACTACTGATTGGTGGACCCTGCTGGACAATTCTTTTTTTATCGATGACATGTAACAAAGTTTTCTTGATCTTTTACATGATTTGCTGTCGCGTTTCAACCCATTAAAGCGAGCAAGAGAACCCGAGAAGTATCCTACACACGTCAGGAACTTGATAGAACAAAGAGATCTCTTGTTTTGTGCAATCCACCCACTGACATCTGATAAATACAAAGACATAGTGAAGAAGTTGACAAGACCTTTAGCCAGATTCAATGCAAACAGACAAAAAAGACTATCTAACATGAGCACTTCCTCTCTCTTCAAATTCGCTCGCCTGATTTTCAAAAAAAAAGATAACCCTCAAAAGTTACGTGACCACCAAGGAAATTTATGCAAAACTGATCAAGAGAGACGAATGCCTTGCACATTATTTTGCATCGATCTTCCAATCACCGACAAATTCTAGCCCTAGCCTTCTTACTGATCGAACCAATGATATATAAAAGCCCGTACTGTAACCTACTACACAGAAGCATATTCTTTATGAAATGGTAACTAACGTAAACTCAATGAACACAGTCGGATTTTTGTGGAATGCACTTTCGTTCTATCTCACTATATTGCCTGTACGATAGGCCCCCACTTCCTGTACCATAATGCGAAATCGATATGAATAGATAACATGTGTGTGCACTTGGTCTTATGGTTCATAGGTTAATTGGTCTTACTAGTCATAAATCTCATTTTATAAACATACACTGACTTTCAAGTTTTACCCTCCTCTCGCAACTTCTGTCAACCACACGACATATTTCCATCTTGCATACTGTTGCTGAGATTTGTTCTGAGCTTTTTGCATGAAGAGTTCCCTTACATTTTCTTGCTTATTACTAATTCGTCACTAATTGTAAAACATAAATTGTGTCTCTCTATATGTGTCTCTGAACTGTCTTCTCTCTAATCGGTCTTGGCTTAGACATATCTGCTTAGACAATCGCAAATGACTTTCGAGGGGACAATTTCTAAACTTCTTCCGGGGGAGGGGAGGGGGTGAGGGGGCATGGAGGAGTTGGAGCTGCCCGGTAGGGAGGGGCCAGGTGGGCGTGGCCCACTCACACGGTCCAATAGAAGCGTCCCCCGGAAGTTTTAGAAGTTTATTTTCTCCCGGAAGTCATTTGCAATTTTCGGAGTGGTTGTCTCATTTCAAGCTCTTCTTCAGACGTTTTTATAATAGAACAGGTTCACGGGCTCTCCTTCCTTACTGAGGAGTTCCGGGGAGAGCCCGGAGTTCCTGTACTCCGTCTAAGGGCAGGAACGAAACGGAGTTAAAACTTACATACAAAATTTACATATAAAATGGTTTTTAGTTTATAAGTAACACACTTTGTGTATGACCATCTCTATTTTTATCACTATTACCACTACATCATTTGACACAGTATGTGCAGTGATCCGCTAAAAGTCAGTCAAAGGAGCAAGAAGGGCTATGTAATGATTGTTACATACGTATTTACTACTTTTCTTTCAAAAATTACCATTTGATTCGAGGCAATTTATGACGCCACCGAAATTTATAATCTTCCATAAACATGCAAAATCTAGTGACCGAGTTATTCTGGTTTTTGTAGCCAGTAGTATCCCGACTATAGGTCTGATGCGGGCCGAGCCAACGGTGCTGGTGCCCGCCACATTTATCGTTTCTAACTCACTTTAGAGAAAAGAACTAAAGGGATGTATGAATAGATCCTAGAAGGAACCTTAGAAAAGACACAATGTATTCAAAAAACTGATTGCGAGTGTTTTGGTGGAAGCGATCATCAAGTCTAGTTTCATAAAACAGAAATAGGGAAGAATACTAATTTTAAATCTAGCATTCGTTTTCAAAAATTTCGCTGAAAAGTGAGTCTTGGATCAGAGCGTTTGCCACAAGGTCAAATTGGGTTTTTATTATTAAGCACTGCAAACTTATTTATTTATATTTATTTATATAAAATACATCGAACAAGCGATGTGCATACAATCGTAAAAATAAACGAAAGAACTGAACTCAGTCAAACTAGTGGGAGAAGAAAAGCAAGATTGATTAAATTCTAGTTTTCGGGGGGGGGGGGAACGGGACTTACATACATACATATATACACCATAAGGTTGCCGCCGCCTAGTTAGAGTTCATGAGAGGTCATGAGCTGGCAGCAACGCTAATTTGCACTCAATTTGCACCGAAGGTGAGCTGATTCTGCTCACGGTAACTCCGTCATCATCCTGCAGCCCAAGAAATCGGAATTTCTTTGAAATCTGAATTCAAAGTTCACTAGTAAAATCAGTCCAATTGGGGCTAAAACTTGTATTTAGAGGTTTTAAAGCAGGCTAATTCCGAATATATTAATCATTTTGCTTGAAACCTAGGCTTTTTTCTTTTTTAATTGAAACTTGTTTTCACAATTAGAAATTTCAAAAATTGCATGTAAGGGTTTTCTGACATGCTGTTTCCTAAAAAGCTAATGGTTTCGCTCAAAACTTTGAATATTCTTTCCTTCAAAATTTTATTTATTTTCGGTTTTTTTGGAACATTAAACTCTTGAGGTATCAAGCAAAACCATCAGTTTTTTAGGAAACAGCATGTTAGACCCTTGCATAGAATTTTTGAAATTTTTATTTGTGAAAACAAGTTTCAAATCAAAAGAGAAAAAATCTTAGGTTTCACAAAACGATTAACGATTATTCGGAATCAGCGGTTAGAATACCCCTAAATACAAGTTTTTGCCCTAATTGGACTAATTTTACTACTGAACTTTGAATTCGAATTTCAAAGAAATTCCGTTTCATAGGCTGCAGGATGATGACGGAGTTACCGTGAGCAGAATCAGCCTTCGGTGCAAATTGGGTGCAAATTGGCGTTGCTGCCAGTTCATGACCTCTCATGAACTCCGCTAACTAGGCGGCGACAACCTTATGGTGTATGTAAGTTACCTCACCCAGTTTTCGGCTATAGCTTTCGCACAGTATCGCTCGGCAGTAATCTAAAATCTCTAAAATTCGAGAGGACAGGAGGTGAGAGCGAAAACTGTAATTATGCGAACACACATTGTTGGTAATGTAAGAAATATCGCGTAGGATGGATTTTTTGATAGATGGGTCAGGGCCCGGCACGAAGTCGGCAAATGACAAGCTGGAAATCGTTTTAGGGCCAAAAAGCAAAGGAGAAATCGTTTTTGCGGGGTCCGGGGCGGAGCCCCGGAAAAAAAATTGGTAGTTCATGCTCGCTACTTATCTTGACATGTTATAGGCTGTACCAGCCGGCATCGGTACCGCGCCAGCATGCCTTGCGACGACGCACCGTCGCATGCGGCGTGCCCTAACGCGCGGCAGAGTTCGCAAGCGTCACATCGCATCGTCGCAGTCGCCGCAGGCGCGACGTCGCATAACCGATGCGGGTTGGTATAGCCTATATGTGCCTCAACGAGCGAACACTGGAGTTCGCGCGCGTCAAACCGCGCCGTCGCTAATTGCCGCACGCGCGACGTCGCCCAAGCGATGCTATTTGTAACTGCATACATGTCTAGTTCTCAATGTATGTGTAACGATATGGCACCAAATTTTGTATGCGAACGGAGAGAGGCTAGTGGAAACAAAGTATGAAAAATTATGGAAAACTTATGTGAACGGAACGAGTAATTAGCATTTTTTCCGAGAATTTCGCAAAACTGGTAAATGAAGATGTGAATTCAAACGACTCGTTTAGAACGCGCAGATGAACGATATGGTATGAAACTTGGTAAGTACATGCACACGGGCTTGCAGGGCTTAATTGAGGAGTTTCATTAAAAATTATGTGACTGAAGGTTGTGGCAAAAACTTTTTTCTGAAAATTTTGCGCTACCAAAGAAATGGAAAAATGGCTCGTTTGCAACGCAGAGGTGACGAAATCGCGCGGGATTCGGTGTGTATATGCGCAATAGGACTAAGTAATAAAGTATGAAATATTACGAAAAACTTATGTGAATGAAGAGCGTGCTTAACTAATTTCCAAATTAGGTCGGCATTTGCCGACCTAATTCCCACGTGAGGTCGGCAAAACTCTCAATTCACATAATTTCTTCAAAATTTTTACATAAATCTACTCTACGCCTAAAGATTAGTATATACTGAAAATTTGGTTTCAAACCTCCTCCTCTCCTTGTTGATAGAGGCAAAAATACCCTCAGCAGCCCCGCTTCCTAAGGAAGGAAAGCTCGCTCCAATCGAACGGCGTATTGCTGAGTCCTACAATCTCAGCGACGCCGATCTAAGCTCTCATACATACTGCGTTTGCTTTGCTTTATCGAGCTATTGTATTATCTAAGTATTTCAGATGACAGAGGAAGAGTCGGCATCGAGAGGAAATATTGAGAAGGTACATGGCCAGTTGTTCGAAGTTGGGCCTCGCTTTGATTTTATTGGCGTGATTTCACATACTAGTTCTTATGTTTTACGTCTTTTCAGATCTGCGACTTTGGCTTCGTTCGAGTCACAGATCCGCATACAGATCACGCTGGTTTTCTAATCGAGTACGACAAGGTAAGCTTTGATCAAGTCTCTTTTATCTGTTTGAATCTCAATACGAAAAATTAGTTAGAGTCCTTGCTTTGAAATCGGTCTCATTTTCGAGGTATCTAGGTTTTCGCTTATGTGATTAACCTTTTTAGGTGGTATCGAGTCCCAGAAATCATGCTGAACTCAAAAGGTTACACAAAATCCATCGACGTGTGCTCGGTAAGCGACAGTTTCTCGTTATCACCTTATACGCTCCCTTTTCCCCTTTTTATGAGTGTCATAATTGACCGTTCCTTTTTGTATCTAACTTAGGTGGGCTGCATTCTTGCCGAAATGTTGAATCGTCCGCTCTTCCCCGGCAAACACTACCTCAATCAGTTGAACTTCATCCTCGCTATGGTAGAATCCCCATCACAATATTTTGGATCTCTATTTGTTTTTTGGATAGAAATAAAGTTTTTTGAGGGTTTTTTCTTCAATAAAACTTTTCTGTGGACAAAGTGTTTACTGCGCAAGCGGTGGTGCCAGTTTCCGGGTCAAAGGGGAATTCGTGTTCGAAAACCCCTTTTGCCCACCTCGTGCCGGGCCTTGAGATGGGTTTTTAGGTGATTGGTCATGGTTTCAAGTTGAAAGCAGTACTTTGTCAGAAGCTTTGATCTAATGATCAGGATAATGGTTAGTAGACCATATTGCTCAAAAACAACGGGGATATATGAAGTAGGAGTAAAAGATCACTTTACGTGGTACATGCAGCGGCCAATCCATTGACCAAACCATAAACCATTGATCCATCCATCGATCCATTGTCCATTGTACATACATACATACGTTGAATTTTTGCTTCATTCTCTCCGTGTTTGTGCAAATGTACCAACTGAATGTAAGATCAAAGTGTCTAACACTGTGAATGATAGGCATGTGTAGAAATCAGTGCATGCATCATAAGCTGGTTGGGTAATTTCACAATGTTTGTGAGGCAGGAGCTACTTCATGTCTATTCAAAAAATAGTTCCTAGTGGGAGCGATACGATTGAAAGCAGAAAATAGCAACTAAAGTTACTTGCATTTCACCTCCAAAACATGGTGCAAAAATAGTATCATACAACGTCCTCCATTCCCAGTAGTTGAAGAATATCTACTTTTTCAAAGCGTTCTTCAAATGAGCATTTGAATTCATAGGTAAGAAAGAAAGCGGTAGCTTGTTCAAAATTGAAGTTGCTTGATAAAAGAAATTGTTGCGTTGTTGTGAAACATTGTACCTGCCAAATCTAAAAGTAGTCAAATTGAAAGAAGCTCGACGTTCACTAATAGGTCGAAAAGACCAGTATTTACTGAGTTTCAAACCTACCTCAGCTCGTAGAATTTTGAAGGCCATCAGAATGTCTGCTAGAATTCTTCTATAGAAAAGTGTTTTGAAACCTAATTTGCGTATTCTAGTCTTATAATCAGGTAGATCGAGAGGATTTTGCATTGATAAAGGCACGATGGAAAACAAATTTGGTAAAGGTTTTCTGTATTTTTTCTAATTTTTCAATGTCTTTTTTCAAGGAAGGATTCCATACATAGCTGCAGTATTCAATTACTGGAAGAACAAAAGTTTTGTAGATCCTTATAAGTAGTTTGGGATCAGTAGATTGAACAGTGCGCATTAGTGCATAGAGTATCCGGGTCGCTCGAGTTGTAATTTCGTCAGTATGAATAGAATATCTTAGTTTCGAATCAGTATAAATGCCCAGATCTTTAATCACGAACTTGCATTCGAGATCAAAATTTTCTTCCGGTTCAATGAGCGTTCTTCCAATGGGAATAGTGCAGCTTTTAGAATAGTTTACCTTGATTCCACATGCTAGTCCAAGCAATCATGTGAAAAATCGAGCTACGAAGTGCAATATTAGCGTTAACTTTGTCGTTCTGGTCGTAAGTGATATAGATCTTAACATCGTCAGCATACATGGCGACTCTAATTTTGGGATCAGCGATAAGGAATGGAGGTAAGTCAATAGTATATACAGCGAACAAAACTAGTGATAAGACACTGCCTTGTGGAACACCAGATTTACAGTTTCTTGTTCCAGACATTTTGTCAAGAACTTGAATCGAAAATTTCCTCTCGCTAAGATAGGATTGGAGCCATCTTAACTGCGAATCTCTAATTCCTAAACTCTCTAATTTGGCCAAGAGAAGATTATGATCAACGGTATCGAATGCTTTGCTTAGGTCAAATTAATAGCATCTATAGACTGATTCAAGCTTAGTGCCACTGTCCAATCAAATTGGCAGTCGACGAGCTGTGTACCGGTTGATCTACCGTGCGGGAATCCATACTGCTGTTCTGGAAGACATTTTATCTTCTCAAGCCATTGCAGCAGATTCCTTATTATAATCTTCTCAAATATTTTGCACGATGTAGGAAGAATGCTTATTGGCGTGTAATCAGAGAGCTGAGGGTTGAGTGAGGTCTTTGGTAATAGTATGGCAGATTTCCAAAGGTGAGGTATCTGCGCCCAGTAATGATAAGTCAAAAATATGTGTTAATCTAAGGGCCAACTCATCAGCGAACATCTTGTAAAAAATAGCCGGGATATTATCAGACGTTGCTGACAACGCTGGGCTCACATTCCGCAAAAGCTTGAAAAAGCTCGCAGAAGTACAACGTAGGGATCTATCTTTGGCGGAGGGCGAGATTCCGAAGATCTGTTGAACCATGTAGGAGAGGTAGGGGAAGGATCAGAAAATGCAGTAGCGAAATGGTCTGCGAGAGCTTCAGCTTTAGAAATAGGAGTATGATAAATATTTCCGTATTTATCTTGTAGGCGACCAAAGAATTTGTTTCCTTTCAAGTGCTTTTTCAGATATGTCCAAAGGTTGCGATTATAGGCTTTTCTGGCCAATTTCTTCTCCTTTTGTTTCAAAAAGCGCTTCAAATGAAACGACAGTTTTTTGGAAACATGCTTGTATTGTAAATCGTTCAGAGGATTCTGAAGATTCAGGTACAATCTCATTCGCTGGAGCCAGAGGTTTTGTATATGTTTTGGGTATTTCAAAAAAGGTGGGCTAATTTGCTTAAAGGGAACATAACGTGAAATCAAGTCATGGATTATACGGAAAAAATTATCGTAGACTTCATCTATATCGGAATACCCGTCAAATACACTAAGCCAGTTAATGCTGGACAAGATGTTTTTTTTTATGGAAGACGGCATTAGAGTGTTCACGTACTGGCGAATGTTCAGAGATATCACAAAGACCAGAGGTAAACAAGGCTATTTGTAAAGATATAATAATGTGATCTGCATTGCCTAAACGGGGAAGTATCTGGATTTTGGAGACGATATTACATCTTGTAAAAATAAGATCCAAAATTGACGCATTCCTGGTGGGGATTTTGACAACTTGTGAGAGCCCCAGACATTCAAAAAGTGATACAAACCGGGAAGAGGAGGATGAAATTGCCTTCATCTTGGACCAGTCCACATCACTGAGATTGAAATCTCCCAAAAGAAGAGTGTTTTTTGTAGATGTAGCCAGATATTCTAGGGTGCCAATAAGCTCTTTGTCTTGAGAGGATGTTTGGCTAGGTGGTCGATATAAGAGTACAAATCTTTACTTTGAACAGGATTGACGAATAGATCGAAAACCAGTAGGTCAGTGGGTAAAGAAAGCTTTTGATCAATGTTGCGAAAAGCTAAATCGTATGAGTACGCATACTCCACCGCTCCTTTTGTGTTTGCGATCAAAACGTAAAAGGTTGTATGGAAGATCACCCAAAACTTCGTTATCGGATATATTACTATTGAGCCAGGATTCAGTGACAAAAACATGTGCAGGTTTATGGAGATGGATAAAATGACTAAAATAAAACTTGTGAATAACTAATAAAACTTGTGATTGTAACCGGGGGTGTCTAGTGGTATGACGGTTTTAACCGGATCGATAGACAACACGGATTGTACAACTAATAATTTATCTCAGAAAAACGGCAACGAACAACAAGAAACAAGAATGCGTAACTTGAACAGGCTTAACAACGAAACGACGGGCTTTACCCTCTTGACCACTTCGGCAGGTTGACTGGATGAACTCTCTATCTAAGGGGGAGATCCGCCTCTCTTCGACGGAGTTAGCTCCCGCTAGCGCTTCCTTAGCGCACTCCCTGACTCCCCCCTGACTACCGGTATTTATACCCTGCCGAAGGAGTCAGCGCGGGCTTTTCTTCCCGCCACTGAAGATCGGTAGGTCGGTGATCCGCGCCCTCTGACATCCCTCCCGTTCACGTTCCCATTTTTCTGTCCTTGAGGGAGCCAACGTGAACAACCGATTTGGGTTTGCCCATTTTTTCAGTACTGATTCAATCACCGTTCACACTTTTGACTTCGTTTCCCACATGCCAATCTTCTTGAAGGATAGTGGGGGCCATACGGGTACAATCTTTCCTCCTTCTTCGAGGTATTTCTTGCATATCCGCAATGTCTCAATGATAGCCTCATCCTCCCTTCTTGGGTACAAGGGCCATACTATGATCCACATACTATGATCCATGATCCATGTTCTTCAAGCATTTCAACGCTTCTTTGAGTTGACTGAATGATACTGCCACCTTGGTCAGTACTCCACGCTGTTTCAGCTCAACTTCCTCAGATGATGTTGCACATCTCGGTGCAATAAACGCAACAGGACGTTCCTTATCAAAACTTTGTCCTTTCTTACTGCTTGTAGTCTGAACCTTGACCCCTTTCTGTGCCTCTCCGCACATTTTCCAATCGCTTCTGGAAGGGGTTTGATTCTTGCTGCCCTTCCTACATGTCGACTTCTTCCATTTGCGCTCACAAGCTTCCTCTGACCAGATTCCTTTGCCTGCTTTGACATCTCTTTTTCTCTCATTAAAAGTTTTCTTGTTGACAGTTACAGACCTGTCCTTCTCTGGGATACCGTTCAAAGTTATGGTACCTTGTTGGGTCTTCGCTCTCACTGAGGCGGTGTTTCTCTTTTGTAGAAGCACCATCCTATCCTTTGCTTTTACTTTG